AAGCCACTCCCACAAAGGAGGCCACACCCACAGAGTAGGTTCGAACAATTTTTGAAACCCACCACTGATTAGATGGCAACGGGAGCTTGGTGGGAACCAAAAAATAGGTGTGTTGGAGCTTACAGGATCCACATTTTGCTATAGTTTTATGGTTGTTAATCCCTAAATATTGTCCCTCTCACAGTTTCCATTCCTGGAAGGAATGGGGGGAAAGGGGGAAACTGCAAAATTATTGAATCGCCTATTTGTTTTTTTGTTATTTTAAAGACCAAAATAAAGAATTAAGCCTATAGCACAATATATAAAAGGGCTAGGGATGTGGTGGCTCAGTGGCTAAGATGCTGAGCTTGTCGATCAGAAAGGTCAGCAGGTCGGCAGTTTGAATTCCTAGCGCCGCATAACAGAGTGAGCTCCAGGCACTTGTCCCAGCTTCTGTCAACCTAGCAGTTCAAAAGCAAGTAAAAATGCAAGTAGAAAAATAGGAACCACCTTTGGTGGGAAGGTAACAGCATTCCGTGTGCCTTCAGAGTTTAGACATGCCAGCCGCAGGACCATGGACAGCACTGGCTCTTCGGCTTTGAAACGGAGGTGAGCGCTGCCCCCTAGAGTCAGGAACAACTAGCACATAGGTACAAGGGGAACCTTTACTTTTACCTATAAAAGGACTAAAGTTTTAGGTTTACCTAACTGGTAAATTAATATATGCTGCTATACCATAGCCTATTAAGATAGTAAAACAATGTAATAATTGTTTAAATGTTAGATTGTTTTCTAAGATGGACCTAATTAAAAACATATTATTGTACACACAAGATCTAATAAACATCAGGTTACTAACATCAGTAATATGCTATATACAATATATTATATTACTATATATAAATATCAGGTTCCTATGGCTGACGCTGCCTAGAATAGTGTTTCTCAACCTTTGCAACTTTAAGATATATAATCTTTGATTACTCTTCTTTTTTATTTTTTTCAGAATTGGATATTTTTGTTATTTATTCAATCAAGTATGATTATGATATTAGAGTGGCAAGAATAAAAAGGCATATAGCCCTCAACTTACGACCATAATGGATCTTGCCANTCCTCCCTTCTTCCCTGCCTGTTTTTCCCCTGATTGCCTCTGCCTTGGCAGCCAGATTTGTGCCACCTTGTCTTGGGGGGTGGAGGGGAAGCCCTACGTCCAACCCAATGAGCAAAATAGGGTTACTCACATCTCCAGCAGCCTTCTCTGCGGCCAAAAAGTGTCATGCCAGAGGGGGGGGGGGAGGAAAGGAAGACCCAGTGCCAAGTACCCGAGTCTGTCAGTCTCTCTCTCTCTCCAAGCCCCCAGCGAGGTTGGTGAGCAGCAGTTTTCTCCTTCCCCACCCCCACCCCCTTCTTCATGGAACAAATGGATCTCCAGCCTGAATACTGTACCAGAGGAATGTACCAACTGGCATGGTGAGGGGGGGGGGATGCTAGACAGGAGGGGGAGGGGTCAGGCCAAGCAAACCATCTCCACATGATGGGCAGGGGAATTTTTGCAGCCTACAGTTTCCATCATGACGAGCCGCTCCTTATTATTGTGGGCATAGGATGATTTAGGCGGGGAGGGGGGGCGGGATCTTACAAGTAGTTGATGAGGGGTATCTGGGGAGGGAGGAGATCCAGAGGAGAGGAGAAAGAGGGGTTGCAATTCTCAAGCTCGCTATTTGGGGTGAGGTGGAGAGCAGATGCTCAGGAGAAATCCTGATTTTTCTGCACTCTGGGGCCCTCCAAAGAAATGCTTGCTCCAAGTGGTTGCTTCCCAATTTCCCCCCCGCATCTGTGTCCCTCTGGTGTGCTAAATTGGGGTTGTCCAACCTTGACAAGGGACTCAGGGGCTCAGGGGCTAAGATGCTGGTCTTGTCGATCAGAAAGGTCGGCAATTTGGCGGTTCGAATCCCTAGCACCCCTTAATGGAATGAGCTCCTGTTACTTGTCCCAGCTTCTGCCAACCTAGTAGTTCAAAAGCATGTAAAAATGCAAGTAGAAAAAATAGGAACTACCTTTGTTGGGAAGGTAACAGCATTCTGTGCGTCTTCGGCATTTAGTCATGCCGGCCACATGACCACAGAGACGGCTTCGGACAGCGCTGGCTCTTCGGCTTTGAAANTTCTACTCTTATTCTCTTCTACTCTGCTCTACTCTTATTCTACTCTTCTCTTTTCTCTTCCTTTCTGTCTTCTACTCCACTCCACTCTACTTTACTCTAATTCTACCTTATCCTACCCTACCCTACCCCCACCCTATCATATCATATCCCACTCTACTCTACTATATTATACTCTATAAATAAAATATTACAAATAAACAAAATATTCCTTCTCCCCATAACCTTTTCCTGGGTTGATCAAACCACCATCTTTCAATTGTTCCTCATAGAATTTGGTCAAATAGAATAGAATAAAATAGAATGGAATGGAATGGAATAGAATAACAGAGTTGGAAGGGACCTTGGAGGTCTTCTAGTCCAACCCCCTGCTCAGGAAGGAAACCCTACACCATTTCAAACAAATGGTTGTCTATGACAATCTTATCATCCAGTTCATCTTTCTTTTGATTATTCTCCAGTTTTTCCATATCCTTCTCAAAACCGAATGTCCTAGTCAGCATCAAGAAAGAGTATTTTATTTCATTATTTTAAAAGGGACTTTTTATAGCTCGATGGCACGCTTTGCTCTGCTGTTCAGAAGGGAAAATAAATAACCGTGTCTATTTTTATACTTCTAACAAGGTTTCCCTGATTTCAACGGGACATCCTTCAGCACCCGAGTGTACAAGGCAGAGCAAAACTATTTTAACAGGAAATGAAAAAGAAATGCATTTTTAGAAACTCCACAATCATAAAAAGCTATCCAAAGACTGCTTAAAAAAGATTAAAGTAGCAGATTAAAATAAATCCAGGCAAGAGCAAGAACATTTAAATCCTGAATTCTGAAAAAGGGGCTGAATAAATTAAATCCCTTTATCACAACCTCTTGCTAGTTCACAAGGGAGTGCAGTTGCCTACCAACAATGCTTAATAATCAAGCTAAACTCCTTAAGAGCTTAATTTTTCTGCAAATAATGGAAGAATTGATTGCCATCCTGCTCATGTTTCTGTATTGGGCAAAACAGAACAAGAGGGTAAAGAGGTGAGACTTAACATTCCCGATCTCCTGGGCTGCAGGGGCCCCTGAGGGAAGATACAAATACTTGCCAACAGGAGTTGATAACTCACGGTTTAATGCAGGGGCGACAACTTGAAGACATGTGAAATTTCAACTCCCAGAATTCCTCGGCCAGTCAGAGTTGTACTCCACAAGTCTTCAAATTGCCAAGGTTGGACATCCCTGTTTTGACCTGGGCTTCCCGAAATCACGTAGCAAACTCCTTGTCCCGACAAAATCCCTTTTTATTAAGCTAATGTGAATTCCNTATATGTGTGTATGTATTTGTATGTGTGTATTTATATTTAGTCACATTTCTTTAAAAAAAACATTTCAAAGGCAGGGAGGTAAAAAAACAGGCCAAAGATTGCAAGGAGCCCTTTTTTTTAAAAAAAAAAAGCACCTGGGCACTCCGTCTGGCCTTTATTCCCCCCCCCCCCCCTTTGCTCAGTTGCTACGAGGCGGCTGTTCTGCTGGGAAGAACTTCCCTTCCCTTCCTTTTGCCCCTCTTTGGCTTCCCAACATTCCGTCATTCAAGGGAACACAGCATGTTCGGAGCTGACTGCCCAGAGGAAGTCATTACTTCTGTGAGTTGACTTTGGGGAGACGCTCGCTGGCAGGTGGGTGTCCCTTGAAGGCCTCGTGTCCCCTCCTCCCCCAGGAGGAGATAATTATGTACGGTGGCAGGCGGAGGATGCAACTTTGCTAAGGCAAAGCACAAAGGCCTGCTTCATCTTAATGCACACCGCAATGTCGGCAGGCACCAAGTCCTGGAGATTTTTTTGTTGTGGGGTTTTTTTAACTTTAAAAAAAAGAAAAAGAAGAAGAGAAAGGGAAAGAGAGAGAGAGAGAGAGAATTGCTATTTCTTTGGCGTTCAGGATGGGTCATCCTTTTTGTAACCACTGCCTTTTTTACAATTAATGGGGGAGCGAGTGAAGGGGGCAGGGAGCGCAGCGCACTCTGGTGCTTTGCTGCAAATTTGGGTGCATGCAAAAAACCAAAGTCACAAGTTTGTTCTGAGTAAATTTGGACTATGGTGGTGGCAGTTAGAGTGATTATCATAATAGCTTGCCAAGGGAGGCCTTTTTTAGTAAAGGTATTCCAAGTAGTTTGATTTTATTCCATTCCGTTCTGTTCTGTTCTACTCTACTCTTCTGCTCTACTTTACTCTTATTCTACTCAACTCTTCTCTCTTCTCTTCCTTTCTGTCTTCACTCTGCCCTACCCTACCCTACCTTACTCTACTCTACTCTATGCTACTCTTATTCTCTTCTACTCTACTTTACTCTTATTCTACTCAACTCTTCTCTCTTCTCTTCCTTTCTGTCTTCACTCTGCCCTACCCTACCCTACCTTACTCTACTCTACTCTATGCTACTCTTATTCTCTTCTACTCTACTTTACTCTTATTCTACTCAACTCTTCTCTCTTCTCTTCCTTTCTGTCTTCACTCTGCCCTACCCTACCCTACCTTACTCTACTCTACTCTATGCTACTCTTATTCTCTTCTACTCTACTTTACTCTTATTCTACTCTACTCTGCTCTCTTTTTTCCCTTTCTTTCTACTCCACTCTACTCTAATTCTACCTTACCCTACCCAACCCTACCCTACCTACCTTACTATATTCTATTCTA